ATCTTTCTAAATTTGTTATATATGACGTTTGAATTTGAAAGTTAAGGTTGCCAAATTAAATTTTAAATTTGACACCAAATCATTTACAGTCGCCCGATATTTACATTTTTAGTTGTAAAACATTCTAAAACACTTGATAAAGGCAAAAATAATGACTTAATTGGATGTTTTTTTGATTTGTTTTAGCAAAATTTTGCAATTAACACCATTTTCAACAGTATTTTGTGTTTTTCGTCCTATTTTTTTTTTGACAAAACTTCACTCAAAAAAAGCTACTAACATTGACACTGATCTACCCTAATGTAGCTATAATTCTTTTGTCTTTACGCTGTTTACGTTTCAAAGTTTTTTCTCATGAATGATTGTAAACATCGTATTAAGACATAGACGGGGACGGGTTTTCAGCCTCAATTTATGTTTAATTTTAACTCAGAAATGACGTGCTTTCGACAAAAGTTGGAATAACGAAAGTTGTTTCTTTTGACGAGTCTAATTAGGGGTTAAAATATTTGCTCGCAATCCTGTATGTCTACCCAAATGTAAAGAAAGCGTTTTAAAAAAATTCCAACTCTAGGATTTTTTTCCACCGATTTGTCTAATTTGACTAGTACCACTTGTGATTGAAGGAAAGCGTGATTTTCCTCAACGATAAAGCTCGATCGCTGCAAGATCTCTCAAACGAATCAAGTGAGGAGGATGAGTTTTTCGATTCGTTGCATGAGTCAATTGTTGCATGCGATCGTAAGGGGAAGTACCACAAAAAGGCGGCGCCTCAGCCGCCGCCGATCAAAGCAACGCTGGTTTTGAAACCAGGAGTGGTGAAACCGTTGGAATGTAAGGAAGTGTTTGTGCAAGAATCTAAACCAAAACGTCGCACGATTATTAACCGGTCTTTGTCGGTTTCCAAAGGGAAATTCGACTCTTTGACTCTGTCTAAACTAATCAATTTTCCTAAAACGATCAGAGATTCGCTTGAGAAAAGTGGGAAACTGCACAGAATGCAATCGAGGAGTGAGGACGATTTGAGAGTGGCTCGGAGAAGGTTGAAGATTGAAACGTTACAAGGCATGGATTGTGTGGATTTATTGATTGATTGATTGATTTCACTAACGCTTTTAATGTGTTTTGTGTGATTTTCACAGTCTTGAACTTGGTAATGAGTTGGTGTTTTTTTAGGATACTCCAAGCGCAACGTTGCCTCGCACGAAATGGACGACTAAGAAGAAGACTATTTAAGACTTGTGATTTGGTTTGTTATTCTATTAGGTATATTTTATGTAAAACATTGCTTTTTAGACAATTTTATTAAAGAAATTCCTATATTAACACTCAGAGTTGTTTAGAAACTAAACGCGTGTTGGTGATATTTATTATGATCTTTAGGTTAAATTATTTATTAAAATGCATGATCCTAGCCGATTTTATATTAAGTTTGTATTAAATACACACGTAATGAATGAAATAAAGTGGTTGTTGTTTGCTTACTCATTTCACCAATTCCCACACAAAATAATAAATAAAAAGTGAAGAGTTGGAACCAAGGAAAAAAGTACGTTTTTGAAGAAGTAATTTTTTGTTAAATTTAATTTTAGTTTTTAATTGAAGAGATTTTTTCGTACCGTTGCAAAAAAATCTAAAAATCGATTTTAAGTTTGTATTTTTTGACATATTTTGCTCAAATAAATTACATTTTTTGGAAAAATTATTTGTAAAGATAAGAACTAAAATGATTTATTTTGGCTTTTGTTCACTCAATCTGACTCTTTAAAGAATTGTTTATATTTTTTGAATAAATGTCACAACAATGTTAACACTAGATTGTTTAAGTAAAACTGATTATTTCGAGATTTTTTTTTGAATTAATTTGGAAAATCGGAACACATTCTAATTTTCATAATTTTAAAAAAACTGTTTGGCTTATGCAAAAATACTCTTTTAAATGATTTTTTGGCTTTTTAGTTTTTTTATAAGGATTACTATTTGTAGAATTAAACGCAAAATCAACTTGTTCTGTAATAAAATCTCAATGTTTGTGCTTTATTTTGTTCCGTAAAACTTATTTTTTAATAATATTTGCTTTAGTTATTGGAATAATCGTTTTTTGTTTGTTTTGTTTAATCTGTTATTTTTAAGACTTATTTTTATTTTGATTGCTTAATTCGAGGAATAAAATTGCTTGTTTTAATGAACACAATGAGCATTAAATTATTTACCATATTTCGGTCGATTAAATTAACTTAATAGTATATTATTCAACGAGTGAGAAAGTTAGCCATACGAACCGTAGGTGAGTGGAGTTATTCATTTGAGTGAAAATGGACATTTTTACGAGTTTAATACTATACTTTTTTTAATCTTAAATGTTAATGACTAAATTTTTTTTAATATTTTTTCTTTTTATTATATTTATTGTTATTATTATTAATTTTTTTCAGGTGAAAATTTTGAACAACTTTTTCAACTAAAAACGGTTGAGAAAAGTACAAATTCTTTAATATTATTAGAAAAGAAATTGTGCAATTTATGGATAAAAATTGTAAAAATATGATTTGAACAAACTAATTTTTGTCTTATTTTGTTTATTCACTGAAGATTTTTCGAAGAATTGTTTATATTTTTTTAATAAATGTCAGAAATCCAACTGATTTATTAAATAAGAACTTTTTTTGAATTGATAAAAATCGCAAAATTGGTTTTATTAAAGTATCATTTTTAGGTAATTGTTCTCGATTTTTTTAACGAAAATTACCACAGTATTAAAAGATGGTTTAATTTTTACAAAAAATTGCTTTTATTTTGTTGGATTAACACTAGAAGTCGGAAAATTAGTTGATTTTTTTTAAGTAAAACTTTGTTTAATTTGAGATTTTTTTGAATTAATTTGGGTAATTGGAAGACATTCTACATTTTGCTAATTTAAAAAAATTATTTGCCTTGTGCAAAAATTATTTTTTAAATGAATTTTATGCTTTTGTTTAGTTTTTTTTATTAGGATTTTTATTTGTAGAATTAAAACCAACTAATTTTTTAATGAAAACTCCACTTATCTCAATGTTTTTGCTTTATTTATTTCCGTTTAACTTATTTTTTTAATAAGATTTGCTTTAATTATTTGAAAAATTTGTTTTATTTGATTGTTTAATTCGAGAAATAAAATTGCTTTTTTTTAACGAAAACAATGAACATTTAAGTGTTTAGCATATTTCGGTCGATTAAATTAATAGTATAATTAATAGTATATTATTCAACGAGTGAGAAAGTTAGTCATACGAGTCGCAGGCGAGTTGAGTAATTCATTTGAGTGGAAGTGGACATTTTTCACGAGTTTAATACTATACTTTTTTTAATCTTAAATATTAATGATTAAAATTTTTTCAATATTTTTTTCTTTTTATTACTTATTATTACTATTTAATTTTCTTCAGATGGAACAACTTTTTCAACTACTACTATTGAGAATAGTACAAATTCTTTAATATTATTATATAAAAATATGATTTGAAAGAACAATTTTTTGTCTTGACTTGACTATTCACTTTAGATTTTTCGAAGAATTGTTCATATTTTGTTAGAAATGTCAGAAATCTTAAAATTGACTGATTTTTTTTAATAAAAATGCTAATTTTAAGTGATTTTTTGTATTAATGCTAAAAATCGAAAAAATTGGCTCCAAAGTCTATTATTAAAGTATTTTGTTCGATCTAGCTCATTTTTCAACGAAAATTGCCATAATGATAAAAAATTATTTCATTTTTACAAAAAATTCTCTTCATTTTTTGCCTTGTTTTGTTCAATCTGTTTTTTTTAGAAGGATCCTTATTGTAGAAATATCAAAATGAGCTTATTTTCTAACGAAAATTCCACTAAATTCCGCTTTATTTATTGAAAAAATCGTTCTGAAATGAGTTTTTTTAGTTTGTTGAAATATGGCTTGTTTGGTACAATCTGCCTCATTTTTGAAATGAAAAATAGCGAAAACATACTTTTTTCACTCTAGTTTTAATGACTTTTGATTTGAATTTGGCGCCATGATTGGTGCGTCGCAGCGCCACTTCAGGCGCCACCGTTCCGGTAAATTTGCGTTATGTTGTTTTTGAGTGTTCGCAGTGAAAAGTTGATAAAAGTGGTGCAAATCAACCGTCTTCAACCCCTCCATCATCACCCAAATCAACCCAATGAAATTGAGCGATAATGGCTGATGAACAGGTAAATTTCCCTCAATGCGACAGCCTCCAAACCACTTGAACTTCACTCCCCCTAATCGCCCCCTTTGTCTCTCTCGTCATCCCCAGGAGATCCGCCAACTGGAGCTGCTGTGCAAGCAGCTGTACGAGTCGCAAGACACCGCGATCAGGGCCGACGCCGAGAAGGCCCTCGTCGTGTTCCAGGACGGCCCCAATGCCCTCACCAAGTGCCAGGTGCTGTTGGACAGAGGCGACTCGTGCTATGCCCAGTTGCTGGCGGCCACCACCTTGACCAAGCTGGTCTCGAGGAGTGCACAAGGGCTGAGTTTGCAACAGAGAGTCGATATTAGGAATTATGTTTTGAATTATTTGGCCACGAGGCCCAAATTGCCCAATTTTGTCGTCCAGGCGTTGGTGACGCTCTTTGCGAGGATCACCAAGTTGGGCTGGTTTGACACACACAAGGAGGACTTTGTCTTCAGGAATGTCGTCAATGATATCAGCAAGTTCTTACAGGTGCGCTAAAAATGACAAATAAACCCAAAATTGGACTTTTTGGGGCACACTTTCTTAGAGTAAAACCCAACATTAAAGTACGTCGACACGTGTTTCATCCCATCATAGATGCAGAAATCCCAAAGTTCGCTTTTTAGTTGAAAACAATCCTTAATTAATGTAAAAATTGGACATATTTTAGAGATTTTATTATGTGGAAGAAAAAAGACAGCTACGTTTTAACGAGAATTGTTTTTATTAAGAAAATCAAAATGAAACAATTAAAAAATTAGAAATGTTCTAATATTTTATCATGAAATGCCGTTGGTGTTTTTGGCATTGGCAACAAAAAACGTTTAATTTGTGTAAAAAGTTGCAAAAATATGCTTTGAATTGAGTTAAATATTCACAAACGAAAAATATGTCACAAAGTGGAAAAAGAGAACTATAAAAATTTATTGTTATCATTGTAAGCCAGAAATGGAAATTTTTTAGACCTACCCTCGCGATAAATAAATAGCAGCTTGTTTAAAAACATGACTTCTTTGTTTCAATAAAATTTACATTTTGAATTTTGCATTGATTTTTTTGCTTTTTGGCTTATTTTTTTAAGAATGTTTTATTTTCTCTGTTCATTTTATTCGATTTAGCATTATTTTTCAATGGGAATTTATTAAAGAAAGAATTGTGTACCTCATAAAAAAAATTGAAAGAAAAACAAGAAATTTTTATTAAATGCGTAAGAAAAATCGTAGAATCGATGTTTTTGCTTTTACTTTTTTGATTTATTTGGTTCGATTTAGTACACTTTTCAATCGGTTTTGTTGTTGTCACTGAGAATTTTTTGATTATTTATAATTAAATTTGGTTTTATCAAACCGGAAATAGATATTTTTTGGCACTAGACTCACAAATAAATCCCTGAAAAAACGTGATTTCTTTCTTAATTTTTTGTTTCAATATATTTTCTTTTCACTTCTTGTTTTTTTTTATTTTGCTTCTTGTAAGAAATTTTCTTAAACGATCCAAAAACATGTTCTAGATACACTTTTTTCGGGTTTTTTGTTTGAATTAAATATTTTTTAATACGAGTTGTTTAATTAAAGAAAAAAATGTTTAATTAATATAAAAAATTGCAAAAATATGGTCATATTTTGATCAATTAATACCAGTTTTATTATAGGTGTATTAAGAGATTTTATATTATGAGGAAGAAAGAAAGACAGCTACGTTTTAACGAGAATTGTTTTCATTACGAAAATCAAAATGAAACAATTAAAAAATGAAAAATGTTCTAATATTTTATCATGAAATTAAAAGCAACATTTTTTAATGTGCCGTTGGTGTTTTTAACAAATTGCGTGTGTCATGTTGGCAACAAAAAACGTTTGATTTGTGTAAAAAGTTGCAAAAATATGCTTTGAATTGAGTTAAATATTCATAAACGAAAAATATGTCACAAAGTGGAAAAAGAGAACTATAAAAATTTATTGTTATCATTGTAAGCCAGAAATGGAAATTTTTTAGACCTACCCTCGCGATAAATAAATAGCAGCTTGTTTAAAAACATGACTTCTTTGTTTCAATAAAATTTACATTTTGAATTTTGCATTGATTTTTTTGCTTTTTGGCTTATTTTTTTAAGAATGTTTTATTTTCTCTGTTCATTTTATTCGATTTAGCATTATTTTTCAATGGGAATTTATTAAAGAAAGAATTGTGTACCTCATAAAAAAAATTGAAAGAAAAACAAGAAATTTTTATTAAATGCGTAAGAAAAATCGTAGAATCGATGTTTTTGCTTTTACTTTTTTGATTTATTTGGTTCGATTTAGTACACTTTTCAATCGGTTTTGTTGTTGTCACTGAGAATTTTTTGATTATTTATAATTAAATTTGGTTTTATCAAACCGGAAATAGATATTTTTTGGCACTAGACTCACAAATAAATCCCTGAAAAAACGTGATTTCTTTCTTAATTTTTTGTTTCAATATATTTTCTTTTCACTTCTTGTTTTTTTTTATTTTGCTTCTTGTAAGAAATTTTCTTAAATCGATCTAAAAACATGTTTTAGATACACTTTTTTCGGGTTTTTTGTTTGAATTAAATATTTTTTAATACGAGTTGTTTAATTAAAGAAAAAAATGTTTAATTAATATAAAAAATTGCAAAAATATGGTCATATTTTGATCAATTAATACCAGTTTTATTATAGGTGTATTAAGAGTTTTTATATTATGTGGAAGAAAGAAAGACAGCTACGTTTTAACGAGAATTGTTTTCATTACGAAAATCAAAATGAAACAATTAAAAAATGAYAAATGTTCTAATATTTTATCATGAAATTAAAAGCAACATTTTTTAATGTGCCGTTGGTGTTTTTAACAAATTGCGTGTGTCATGTTGGCAACAAAAAACGTTTAATTTGTGTAAAAAGTTGCAAAAATATGCTTTGAATTGAGTTAAATATTCATAAGCGAAAAATATGTTACAAAGTGGAAAAAGAGAACTATAAAAATTTATAGTCAATTTGGTTTTATCATTGTAAGCCAGAAATGGAAATTTTTTTGAACCTACCCTCGTGATAATAATTAATAGTGTGCAGCTTGTTTAAAAACATGACTTCTTTGTTTCAATAAAATTTACATTTTGAATTTTCTATTGATTTTTTGCTCTTCGTTTTTTTTTTTTTTGGCTTATTATTTTAAGAATGTTTTATTTTCTCTGTTTATTTTGTTCGATTTAGCATTATTTTTCAATGGGAATCAATGGGAATTTATTAAAGAAAGAATTGTCTATCTCATAAAAAAAAATTGAAAGAAAAACAAGAAATTTTTATTAAATGCGTAAGAAAAATTTTTTTGAAACAAAAAACGTTTAATATGTGTAAAAAGTTGCAAAAATATGCTTTGAATTGAGTTAAATATTCACAAACGAAAAACATGTCACAAAGTGGAAAAAGAGAACTATAAAAATTTATAATAAATTTGGTTTTATCATTGTAAGCCAGAAATGGAAATTTTGCTGTTTAAAAACATGACTTCTTTGTTTCAATAAAATTTACATTTTGAATTTTGCATTAATTTTTTTGTTGCTCTTCGTTTTATTTTTTTTGCTTATTATTTTTTTTTATTTATAATTTTTTTACTTTCTTTGTTTATTTTGTTCGATTTAGTATATTTTTCAATAGGAATCGTTTTCTCTAACTTGTGGAAAAAAAATTAAAGATAACATGAAATTTTTATTGAATTGAAATCGTGGAATCGATTTTTTAAATGAAAACTTTGCGTGTTATTAAATTGATGTTTTTGCTTTTACTTTTTTGACTTATTTGGTTCGATTTAGCTAAAGGCGTTTTTGTTTGTGTCCTTTTTTGTCACTAAAATTATGTTATAAAACGAAAACTATCATAATAAAAGTTTCGATGATTTTTTACAATTATGTAAATTTGGTTTCACAAAACAGTCAGAAATTCAGAAACATGATTTTTTTCTTAATAGGTAATTTTTCTTTTGGGTTTTTCATTCTGTTTTTTTTATATTTTACTTATTGTACGAAATTTAACATATTTTTCAATATTAGTTTTTATTAAAGAAAAAATTGTTCAATTAATAAAAAAATTGCAAAAATATGGTCTGAAACAAGTTATTTTGTTCTGTTTTGTTCAGTCTGGCTTATTTTTTAATATTTTGTTGAGTAATTGCCAGAAATCGCAAAATCGACTAATTTCTTTTATGAAAACTTGTTTTTTTTTTTACAAGATTTTATTGAATCGTGACAAAAGGCCTCAAGAACTGATTCTGAATTTTTTTTTTGGACTTATATTTTTCGATGTAGCTTATTTTTTAGCGAGAATCGAGTTTATTCAAAATTTTGAGCAAATCATATAAACAGTTTCAATTTTTTTTTGTTGAAAAATAAGCTATTTCAGTGGGAATCTCATTTATCAATAAAATTGTTCAATTTATACACAAAATGTAAAAATAAGGTTTAAAATTACTTATTCTGGCTTGTTTCAGGATTGTTAGAAATTTGATTAATTTTTTTTTTGAACTAGTGAAATCGTAAAATTGGCTGATTTTTTCAATGAAAACTTTGTTTCTTTTAAAAGATTTTATTAAATTGAGGTAAACTATTGCGAAAACTGTTCCCAAATTAACATTTTTTGGCTTATTTTGTTCGATTTAGCTCATTTTTCGTCAAGGACTGTCTTTATTACAGAAATATTTGATTTATGCAAAAAAAAATCAAACAGTCGGAAATAGGCTTTTTAGTCCTACACTTTTTTGTTTATTTTTTTGATTTTTTACATTCTTTTGCTTTCTTCACTCTTCGTTTTTTATTTTTTGCTTATTGTAAGAAATTTTTTTAATTCGATTCAAAACATTTGAAAAATAGGTTTCAAATATACAGGCTGCGCCAAAACTCGCGCCCCAGAGAAAAATGCCATCTAAGGTACGATACCATGAACATGAAAAAAATGTTAAAAAATTCTATCTATAAAAATTTCGAGGTTATGAGAGTTTAAATTTTGCACTTTGACTCTATTTGTTTTGGTTGGAGAAATAATTTTTAAAGTTTTTTTGCTGCAAGCTATTAGAAGCTGTATCCTAAATTGTAACTCTGTTTAATGTTATTTGTGGCTTTTATGGGCAAAACTTATACAAGATTATTAAATAAACATAAAAAATGTCAAATGTTAAAATTTTTTGACAGAATTTTTTCCATGTTCCTGGTATCGTATCTTACTTTTTTCTCTGGGGCGCGAGTTCTGGCGTACCTGTATTTTTTTCGGGTTGTTTATTCGATTTTACAAATTTTTCAAAAAGAATTGCTTTTGTTACAGAGAAAATTGTTCAATTAATGTAAAAAATTGCAAAAATATGATTATTTTGATTTATTTTATTCAATCTGGATTATTTTGATGAATAAATGCCAAAATAATTGACTATTTTTTCTTATTAAAACTTTGCTTATTTTACAAGATTTTATCCTATTGGGACAAAAAACCTAAAGAGCAAGTTCTGAATCAGCTTTTTTCTACTTTTTTTAAGTATGCTTTATTTTTCAACGGGAATCGTCTTTATCAAAAAAAAAAAAAAATGATTTATGTACAAAATGTAAGAGTATGCTTTGAAATGAGTGCTTTTGGCCTGTTTCTGTATGTGAATTTATAGAAATCTGGTTTATTTTTTTTAATCGTCTTAATTTTTCTGAAGTAATGTCATAAATCACAAAATTGGCTGATTTTTTCCTTGTTTTATTAAATCAATGCGAACTATTGCGAAAACTGGCTCTAAATTAACTTTTTTTGGCTTTTTTGTCTGATTTGGATTATTTCTTGGCTTATTTAGCCTCCTTTTTCAACTTTTTATTAAATTTGGGTGATTTTTCCCCCAACACTATAGTTTTTTTCGTGTATTTTTTCTAGGGTTCCGTCGAGCACTGCATGATCGGCGTCCAACTGCTCTCTCAACTCACTTGCGAGATGAACCAAATCTCCGAAGTTGAAGCGAATCGTTCTTTAACCAAACACCGCAAAATCGCATCATCATTCCGCGACACTCAATTATTCGAAATATTCCGACTTTCATGTACTCTTCTCGGCACAGCAATCGAGAATTGTAAAAATCTCAACTTCAACGATGAAAGTCAACACGGACTCATGACCCAACTATTGCGTTTAGCGCAAAATTGTCTCACATTTGACTTCATTGGAACTTCGACTGATGAAAGTTCGGATGATCTCTGCACGGTACAAATCCCGACCAGTTGGCGGCCGGCGTTTTTAGATTTTACAACATTAAAATTGTTTTTTGACTTGTATCATTCCTTGCCTAATACGTTATCCTCACTGGCGCTTTCGTGTCTAGTGCAAATCGCGTCGGTGAGGAGATCGTTGTTTAGTAACACCGAAAGGGCGAAATTTTTGACGCATTTGGTCAATGGAGTCAAACATATTCTACAGAATCCGCAAGGGTTGAGCGATTCGGCGAATTATCACGAGTTTTGCCGACTTTTGGCCCGACTCAAGTCGAATTATCAACTGGGGGAGTTGGTCATGGTTGACAACTACCCCGAAGCTATCCAATTGATAGCGAAATTTACGGTTCAAAGTCTACAAATGTGGCAATTTGCACCGAATAGTGTCCATTATTTGTTGAGTCTTTGGCAAAGAATGGTTGCATCTGTTCCATATGTCAAAGCAACTGAGCCACATTTACTCGAGACTTACACTCCTGAGGTCACAAATGCCTATATCACATCGAGACTGGAGTCAGTTGCAGTTGTGGTCCAGGAGAATCTAGAAGATCCTCTGGAAGATTTGGGAATGGTACAACAACAACTCGAACAACTGTCTGTGATTGGTAGATGTGAATATCAGAAAACTTGCACGCTATTGGTGCAATTGTTTGATCAGGCGGCTAGGACTTATCAAGAATTGATTGCAATTCCGAGGTCTAGTGCGCCACAACATGTGGAAATTACAATACAAGAAGGTAAGAAAGAGGTTTTTTTATAGCCGAGATGCGTAGCATCGAGGGAAATAACAAATTCGAGGCTATAATATTTTTTTCACTACTAGCACACTTAAGAATTATTAATTTAAGTTGGTAATATGTTAAAATAACATAGGAACTGCAAGGAAAAAGGGTTAAAATTTGCCCTACTACCGGTAGTTTTTTTGACAGTTTTGACAAATACGAAGAATTAGAGGTTATGAGGAAGTTTGCCTTTTTTATTTGATTTTGCATAAGTATTGCCATTGGTCAAAATGTTACATTATTTTTGCTATTTCCAAGCGTTTTGCACGGTTTTTTTAGCCAGAAATTTTTACCGAAATACTGGTAAGTCGAAAAAACGCTAAATTACGTTGTGATTTTTCTTCTTTTTTTTGGCGAGGTTTTCTACACGACACTAAATCGGGTGAAAAAACATAATTTGTTTTTTTTTAGTGTTTTAGCACATTTTCAGTCAGAAACGTAATTATTTCTCAAAAATTGGCCGAAAAATCACGAAATTAGGTCACAAATTATGTAATTCTTGTCTTTTTTGAGAGTTTTAGAACGTTTGTAAGCTTAATGGAACTAGAAAATCAGCAAATTGGGTCATAAGTTTTAGCTTGAAATTGTGATGCTTTTTGTTTTTTTTTTAGTCTTTAAGTGCGAAATAATCTAAAAAAAACCGCTGAATTGGGTCGAAAATTGTCTTTTTTTTTAACGGCTTGAACTAAAAACGCATTTTTTCCCGAGATTGTGTTAAAACTGAATGAGAAATCACTAGATTAGGTCAAAAATAGTATGTTTTTCTGACTTTTTTTTTAAGAGTTTAAGCACGTTTTTAACGTGCTAACCCGGGTCGAAGAATGAGCAAATTGGGTCGAAAATAACTTTATTTTTGTCTTTTTCTTTCCAGAAATCCAATTATTGAACAAAATTTTCGTCAAATAAGCCGAAAAAACGCCAAATTTGTTTTAGAATTACGTTTCTGAGCTAAAAATTCAACTTTTTAAGCATGTTGTGAGCAAAAAACCCAATTCGTTGCAAGAATTCACTAAATCAGAACGAAAAATCACTAAAATGGGTTGAAAATAACATTATCTTTGTTTCTTTCTAAAATCATTAAATTAGGTCAAATTTGTCTTTTTTGAACGTTTAAGCACGTTTTTGAGATAACTTGTTAATGAAAAATAACTAAAATGAGTCGAAAATAACATTATTTTTGTTCCTTTCGAGCGTTTGACCGCGTTTTTCAGCCAAAATTTCTTAAAAATAATCCAAAAAACTACTAAATTACGTCAAAAATAGCAAATTTCTTGTCTTTTCTGAGAGTTAAAAATTGAAATTAAAAATTCAACATTTTAAGCATGCTGTGAGCTGAAAACCCAATTCGTTGCAAGAATTCACTAAATCAGAACGAAAAATTACTAAAATGGGTTGAAAATAACATTATCTTTGTTTCTTTTTAGCGTTTGAGCGTGTTTTTCACCTAAAATTTCTCAAAAATAAGTTGAAAAATCATTAAATTAGGTCAAATTTGTCTTTTTTGAACGTTTAAGCAGGTTTTTAACCTTGAAACTCTTTCTTTTTGTGATATTTTTATCGGTCTAAAATAACTGATTTCAGCTAAAATTTCTTAAAAATAATCCAAAAAATTACTAAATTACGTCAAAAATAACATATTTCTTGTCTTTTTTAGGAGTTTAGGCACGGTTTTAAGCTTGAAACTCAGTTTCTTTGCGAGATTTTACTAAAATGAGGAAATTGGGTCGAAAATAACTGATATTTGTCTTTTTTTTCTCCAGAAATCCAATTATTTAGCAAATAAGCCGAAAAAACGCCAAATTTTCAGTTTCAGAATTACGTTTCTGAGCTAAAAATTCAACTTTTTTAGCATGCTTTGAGCTAAAAACTTAATTCGTTGCGAGATTTCATTAAATCAGAACAAAAAATCACTAAAATGGGTTGAAAATAACATTATCTTTGTTTCTTTTCAGCGTTTGAGCGTGTTTTTTACCTAAAATTTCTCAAAAATAAGTTGAAAAATCATTAAATTAGGTCAAATTTGTCTTTTTTGAACGTTTAAGCACGTTTTTAATCTTGAAACTCTTTCTTTTTGCGATATTTTTAGCAAAATGAGGAAATTCGGTCGAAAATAACTGATTTCAGCTAAAATTTTTAAAAAATAATCCAAAAAATTACTAAATTACGTCAAAAATAACATATTTCTTGTCTTTTTTAGGAGTTTAGGCACGTTTTTAAGCTTGAAACTCAGTTTCTTTGCGAGATTTTACTAAAATGAGGAAATTGGGTCGAAAATAACTGATATTTGTCGTTTTCTCTCCAGAAATCCAATTATTTAGCAAATAAGCCGAAAAAACGCCAAATTTGTTTCAGAATTACGTTTCTGAGCTAAATTTTTTTTAGCGTGCTTTGAGCTAAAAACTTAATTCGTTGCGAGATTTCACTAAATCAGAACAAAAAATCACGAAAATGAGTTGAAAATAATATTATTTTTGTCTCTTTAGAGCGTTTGAGCGCGTTTTTTACCTAAAATTTCTTAAAAATAAGTTGAAAAATCATTAAATTTTGTCAATATAATATATTTCTTATCTTTTGAAGATTTAAGCACGTTTTTAAGCTAAATGCAATTATTTGCTTCTTATTTAAGTAGTTTTTTTTAGTCTGTTTTTTCTTCAATTACCAAATTTTTGCACTTTTTTGACACTCAGTTAAACTCAGTTTCTTCGCGAGAAAAATGAGCAATTTGGATCGAAAATAACATTATTTTTGCTTTTTTTCTATCTAGAAGTCCAGTTATTAAGCCGAAAAAAGGCCAAAATTGAGTCCAGAATTATGTTATTTTTACGAAATTTCGAACGTTTAAGAGATAAAAACACAACTTTTTAAGTATGTTAACGAAAAAAAATCAGTAAAGTGGGTCAGAAATAACATTATTTTTGTTTCTTTTGAGTGTTTTTCAGCTAAAATTTCTTAAAAATAAGCCAAAAAATCATAAATTACGTNGTCAAAAATAGCATGTTTTTTTGTTTTTTTTTTGGGAGATTTTGCTAATTGGGTCGAAGATAATTAATTTTTGCCTTATTTATCCAGAAATTCAATTATTTAGCAAAATTTTAAACAAATAAGCCGATTTTCTTTTAACTCTATAATATGAGAGAATATAGCATATGCAAAAAAGTAAAAAAAGTGTTAAAATTTGCCGATTTGTTGTTGACAGTTTCAGGAAAAACAGAAGATTAGAGGTGCAATTATTCTGATGTATTTTATTGAGGAAGTTTAAGTTTTTTTATTTAATTTTATCTCGAGATACTTCACTACGAAAGAAAAACAACTTCACAACCTCTCGACAAACCAAATAATTACAACTAGTAGTGAAAAAAATACAGTATGTCACTCGGGACCAATCGATGCGTTGCAGGTAGACTAACTTGGTTGGTATACATCATCGGATCAGCGATAGGTGGTCGTGTTTCATTCAATAGTAACGAAGAACATGACACAATGGATGGGGAATTGGTGTGTCGAGTGTTACAATTGATGAATTTGACCGATTCGAGATTAGCGCAAGGGGGCTGCGAGAAACTCGAATTGGCTATGTTGAGTTTTTTCGAACAGTTTAGAAAAATCTACGTTGGGGATCAGGTGCAAAAAAATTCGAAAGTTTATCGAAGACTGTCGGAAGTATTAGGTTTGAATGATGAAGCGACAGTTTTGAGTGTTTTCATTAGGAAAATGTGAGATCGAAATTCACACAACTAAACAAAAATTCAAATTTTTTGACTTGTAGAATCACTAATTTGAAGTATTGGGGCCGCAGCGAGCAAATTATAAGCAAAACATTGCAACTTCTTAATGATTTATCGGTTGGTTATAGTTGCGTTCGCAAACTAGTCAAACTGGAAGAAGTCCAATTCATGTTGAATAATCACACAAGTGAACATTTTCCTTTTTTGGGTAATACAGTTAACGTAACAGAGATGCGATGTAGATCTATGTTTTATACGTCTTTGGGGCGACTTTTAATGGTGGATTTGGGTGAAGATGAGGATCGGTTTCATACTTTTATGTTACCGTTGACTGGTGAATTTTTGTAAATAGTGTGTTGATGGGTTGAAAATTTTGTTTTTTAGCTGCGTTTGAGAACATTGGTACCATGTTGGCAGGTGCTGATGGGCCAATGTTTGCACCAGAAGACGCCAAAAAGGCCTTGATTGGTCTAGCGAGGGATTTGAGAGGTTTGGCGTTTTCTTTTAACACGAAGACGTCGTATATGATGCTCTTTGATTGGATGTATCCTTTGTTTGTATTTTCAGTGGCGGACATGATTTTTTCTCCACTCATCGCTACGCTGTGTAACATTTTTTTAAACGCAAAATTTTTTGAAAAAATAATTCAAAAATCACCAAATTAGGTAAAATGGTGTAATTTTTGCCCTTTAAAAAAGCAGTTTTCGTGAAATTTTCCTACACTGGACCTAAAAATCTCTAAATTGGATTGAGAATGATGTTATTTCGCTTTTTAGATGTTGTAGAACGTTTGTTAGCTAGAAAGGCTTTTCATTCGCTATTTAAAAAAAAAAA